ACTTGCCTGCTTTGACTGTATTCAGAAAATCAGGTCTCTCTCGGTTCAAACGAGCGAATCGAAACTCGTTTTAGCAATTTGCAATTGGAGAAACAACAAACTCATCAAATCAGGATCCCATAGCAGCCTTGTCCCCCAAAGCCGGCCTCTTGGTGGTGAAGCGCGAGGAGGTTGACCTGATGATCCACTTGCTGAAAAAGAGAAGCCACATAGTGACATAATGTATAATGTAGGAACAACCAATAAAATATGTGTATACAGTATACATATATTTTTATACTGTACTCATTACATCCTGATATCCCCAGTATATCCCCATATTCGATTATCTCCCCGAAACAGTGCCAACATTCATATCACAACACTTGACCCTGAGGAAAGAGTTACTCGTGCCCACGGCCAGTCCAATATCCTACTGCATGATTGATAGACATCTTCAGTGAAGTCCAACGAAGGCAAGATAGGCAAGTCCATTTAAACGAGAGCAAGTCAAACACAAGGATTTATCTAGGCAATCCATCTTCAGTGACGTCCTTTCTCTATGACAGCGTTCGCTGTCGGACTTACACCGGAACACCTGTATCAGTGCAAATGACTCAGCCTCTTGCCAAGTTCGTCTGACAGAAATTGGCTTACTGAAGCGTTCAAACAATATGACCATTTCAGATGAACACATGAAAAAAATGCAGAACAATGTTCTGGCGATTTCTGGCGCATTATTAAACCCATCCCAAAAACTCCAAAAATATCTGCCAATCAGGATCATGGTCTCAATTCTGGAAAGTACAAGGATTTGAAATCACACACCAATAAATAATGAATGCAGCCCACCTTTAATGACAACTGTGGAAATCTCATCTTTGTTGACGAGATTTCAATGAAACCACGACCCTCTTATGATCAGAATCTGGGTCCAGCACCGTTGACACCGCTCTGTTGAAGATGTCGAAGCCATGAAGGTCCGACGCGAGGTCTCAAGAAACACGACGCGCGAACTTTGGACATAGCCGAGCCGCAAATGAGCACTGGGTGGGATGATCTTGGGATTATAATAGGATTCTTAGTTGGCGGAAATTATACTTAAAATAAACCCTCTGTCATTACGTGCAGCAGTGCCATGAAAGAATCCCATTCTTTAAACCTGGCACGTTTCGAAACAGGTTTGTAGCGGGTTTCAACCTGCGCTGAGAGTCCAGCCAAATCTGGGAGATGTGTCGATCCTGGAGATTTATCCTCAGAGCATCAAGTGCGTCGATCCTCTTCGCTCGAAAATAAGAACATCTACCGCTCGAAAATCATCAAATACCTCCTAAAGGTCCTAAACATTCCTAAACCATATCACTGATGGGCCTGTGAGTTCGCCGTTTGTTCGATGGTACACCCTCTAATTGGACTTCGTGGAACAATCAAGTTCCTCACTTGCAATGAAATCACTTTTTAATACCGGTGGAAGGTCGATAGCTGATGAATCCTAAACATTGGAAACGTTCTGCTGGATTATATATACACATTTGTCCAAGGAACGAGACTGTAACATGTGTATGCAATGTGCATCATGTACACATGTACGCATACAATATATATATATATTGCATATATACATATATATATACATATATATAATTATATATACACATACATACACATGTAGACTGCATATAATTACATGTTCGTCTTCCAGAGGACTATCACATAATTCGCAAAAGAAGGGCGCTCCTGTGACATCTGCGAGGTGCTGAAGAACTCCGACCTCGGCAGTTTCGCCAAATTTTGCATCGCTGGTTGACATGGCTATCTGCCAAGCCCGTATGCATACATAATCATATATATTAGTTGCCCAATCATTTGATTAAGTTTCATTATTTGATTTTGATTATCAATTCATATGTGCTTTTATGTATTTGTCGATATATCTATCCCTTTATCTGTATATTAATCGATTTATCATTCCAATGCAAATGTTCATTTGTCTATACCTATTCATCTGTTGATCTATTGATCTACTGATCGATTAGTCTATTGATCGATTTATCTATGGATCGATTTTGTTATTTTTTCATTTTTGCTTGTGTAGTTAGTATCATGGAAGAGTGGTTAGGGGGCTATGGGGGGGGTTATGAGCATATCATTTAAGGTCCTGATAAGGCTGGGTAATGATCAGCCCTTATTAAGGCCTTACTAAGGTCTTATCAAGCCTGTTTAAGGGCTTATTAAGGCATATAAAGGGTTTATCCTTTAAGGCCTTAGTAAGGTATTATTCCTCATGGATAGCTGAACTTCCTTATCCAGTGCTTATCCAAATGGCTGGATAATGTGTATGTGTATATATATATTATAAATATATAGACTGTTTATAAACATGTCATTGGAGAGAGAGATGCATCTTGTTCAAACTGCACATTTACCGAGCTCCCAACAACGGGCTGTTGGTCACACTCATGTCCGGACGTCCAACCTGGGAGCTTTAAGATTGAAAATTGGTGATTGGGTTGAACACTTTTATCTGTGGATAGAGATGTGAGCTCTGAATATATTTTTTGGTGGATAGGATAGATGGATGGATGGACGGACATACAAATAGTTAGACAGGTAACTATAAATCTATAGATGGCGAGAGAAAAAAAGAGAGGCAAACAAGCAGATAGAGATAAATAGACAGTTAGATACGTGTTGTCGACAAACACAGAAATAGACAGGTAGATAGGTAAAATAAGTCGATCGAGAGACAGATAGATAGGCCGATATAACTGATATAACATACAAAAATTGATATGTGTTTGTACATTGGACAACGGGCCATCCCATTCGCGGTCTCCACCATGGCACCCGGAATCGATCCCCGGCAAGGGAGACTGTGGAGACGAAATCATGGTGTCGATCTATCGGCAAGTCCTTTCGTATCGAAATTTCAAGCAGCCAGGATTGTGTCAAAGGAAAGAAACGAAACAAATGTCACATTCAATTCCAAATGGACATGTTGGGTGGTATTGTGAAATGCATCCCATACACTTCAGATACAAACAGGATTCCACCACTTGCGGTACCATTGCAATCCGTTGCGTGGTTGCCTCCCCAAACATCCTTTACAAAATTACGTTGCTGCCAACACGTGCGACGACATGTTGATGCTATTATATGTTGTAAGATGCAACTGGATGGGATTACACATTGGAAGACCCAATCCATACATGTAACAATGTAGCCTGTATAAACACGCAACAATGTCAAATTAATACATTCAGACATAGGACAACAACCATGAAGGAACCCTCATATTTTGTAATAAAAAGGTGTCTCCTGCATGGCCCAACTGGCCGCACAATGGTCCTCCTCCGGTGCATCCGACATGAAAGTGGGTTCCACAGGAAGCCAACTAGAAATCTACAACAAAACAAAACAACATTGTCACAAACTGTTTGGCAAATAGACTGTTGGTTGGAGTTCTGGTATTATTCCGTTCCATGTGCCAGATTCTTATCAAAATTGTGGCATGTTTGTTTAAATGTTGTTTGAACACTAAACATAGCACGCAAACACATGGGTGGCCTCGGACTAACAATTGATTCAACAAACCAAGTTGGCGCCGAACACAAAAAATGTAGCAAACCTAAGGCCCAAAAAGCTCGCATTTGGAGCAAAATAAAAGCAAAAACGTGTGTTTCAAAGCAAGCCTGTCCCAGGATGTGTACAAGAACCGGTTCAACCTACCCATGTGTTTCCATTTTTTTCAATGAACCATGTGCAACATGGAAGCCAAGTCGGGGTTTCTGACACAAAATTCCAAATTCAAAAAACATCACGGTGTCAGTTTCCAACTGAATTTCCAGCAACATCCGTCTCCAACACTGCAAGCATCAAAACACTGCACGGCAACTCTGTTTTATTTGGGACTTGGAAACCTCATAGGTTGAAAGTGACATGAAATTGCTATGGCATGGGGTGGTGACCGTTGGCCACATGTCTAACACCCTGCCTTTTACACCAGTTGTGCTGGTATTTTCGTCGGCATCAAACAAATAAATTCCTCGACATGCCCATCACCTTCATCTTCATGGGGTGGGTCTCCAACATACTCCACAACCATGCGTCCCTTTCCACCGCGTTTTCCTTTGGCTGCTGGCATCGAAGGAGGGACTTCTGATGACGATTCAACTGCTCCGTCACATAGTGCTCCAGCAGTCTCCTCAGTCACCATAGGCGGGGAACGATCGTCATGAACTTCTCCACCGCTCTCTTCCTCCCCTTCTCCTGTTAAGTAGTAAAGTCTGTATATATACCCCCTACATGTGCGCAAACCTCATATCACAAACCTGCACCAAACTATCTCCGCGTAAACCCGTATAAATTGTAACCAAGTGTGGTCTCTTTGTGTGTGGGCATTTTTGGCAGTTGAGACTATATGGGAACTATATGGAATTTTATAGAAACTATATAGAAACTATATGGGAATTTCAGGGGGAAAATAGGCCACTTGTATTAAGAGACCATATTATAATCATGTTGTTTTCATAGTATGGTACGGGATGGTGATTATTGTGAAAGGTTACAAATAGTATAATTAAACATAGGCATAAAATCAAATTCAAATTCATGATTCATGATTCATGATTGCAATACACACCCCGAAAACAATGCGAAAAAACAATGAAAAAACAATATATACATATATATATATATAGCTGCTCAAGCGCCTCTTTCACTCCTGCCATATTCTGGGTTTGTCCTCTCTGCGTAGCACGTGTGTGCCTCGCTACCACTTCCTCCCAGCTTTTCCCGGGGGGTAGGGTTTGGGTCAGCTTGAGTGCCAGTCATTCATTGTTGCATTCTCAGCTGCATCCAGCTGCTCAAGCGCCTCTTTCACTCCTGCCATATTCTGGGCTTGTCCTCTCTGCGTAGCACGTGTGTGCCTCGCTACCACTTCTTCCCAGCTTTTCCCAACATTTCCATCTGCTTCATTCTGTTGAAAAAAAATAATGCCAGGATTCCGCCGGAACTTTCGCCTTGACTAGCACCTGCATGCGTGCTAGAAGACCAGGAAAGGCTGAGGCTAAGGCCAGCACTCGAGCCTTCAACGCACTGGGGAGTTGAGGAAAATAAACTGTAGCAGCTATCTCCTGAAGGTAAACTTCCATGGTCCTTGGTGCAATCCAACGACCCCTTCTTCTCACCAGCTCTGAGTCTTCTGTCAGCATTAAAAGGTATGTTGCTCCTCCTCCGCGGAGGGAGCCTAGGTCAAGGCCTCTGTTGATGCCATTTGAATCATATGGCAGCCCAATCTCACGAAGGATTTGTCGGAACCTCGTTCGCAGCAGCTGTCCGGAAAAAGGCCAAAGCTTTTCATCAGCGCGCTTTGATCCAAATGCCAGTGACACCAGTTGAACCAGATCTTCCGGATCAAGTTTCGACATCTGATGCCTCGCAGCTTTGAAACGTGTTTTTGGTTCTTTGACCCTCAGGAAAATGGAACAACTAGTGTAACCCACATCCTGAGGCAGCACAAGGTCACGTCTGCAAGATTGTAGCACCTCTCCAATGCGACAAATTGCACCCCACGATAAGGCTATCGATCCAGCAACCCATGGCCAGCCCCATAGGATGCTCACCGACAGAATTGCCAGAAGAATCTGAAACGGACATGCCAGGTGATGGCCCCCTGGCTCTTCGCGTTGCCAGCTAAAAGCCAGATCCCAAGCACCCGTCAGAAGCCGCCGAATCGTGGGTTTCGCAGCAGCCACCGCGTTGACCGTCTCCACATAGTGATTGTATGGTCTGCCTGATGCATACAACTCCCGTCCATAGCTGACTAGCTGTGTCACCATCTTTTCGGGCTCTCTGTATGACAGTTCCAACAGCGAAGGAAAATTCTCGCCTTTGCCAGCCAACCATTCCGCAAAGCACTCCAGCAACCGCTCGCGGTTTGTCCGAGCAACCTGCTCGACAGGTCTTCCACTTTGCAACGGTCGCGACATGCGTTTGGCAGCTCTTGCAAGGTCATCTTTGTTGCGGACCAGATTTCCATGGCTCACTGGGGCTACAGCGACGCTACTAAGCAAAATCCACACTACGAAAAATAGGGGACTACACCTAGGACCCTCGCCAGGGAAACCGAGAGAGGCATCAAAGTCCAAGAGATGTTGATAGAGGTAAGCAGGAGGCAGGCTAGAGCTTTGACGGTGGTGAGGCAAGCTCAAAGCAGCAAAAGGGAGATGGTGTTTGGCCATAAGTCCAAGGCACAGGGAAATCCAATTGCTTGCCCATCTCTTCATGGTTGGTAGCTCTGCTGCTTTAAAAACCTCCTCCTCTGACATCTGGTCAAACCATGATGATCCTTCATACCTGTCACGGACTCTAGCATTTCTTGTAGGATCATCAGCAACATTCACGTGTTGGCAGGAAATGAACAGCCAGCATCATGTGAAATGCAAAGGAAATTGCCATGATCTTTCGGAGAAGTGGGATCAGGGCTGCTGCTGAAGATCGCCCCTTGGCGGTGGCTCTTGCTGAAACATGAGAGTCCATCAGCAAACTCACTCTCCCGCCTCCCTTTCTCGCAGCTTGTTTGACCGCTTGAAAAACGCTGGCTAACTCCAAAACGTTGATGTGAGATTTTCCTGTCTAACTTGCAGTTGGCCACGTTGAAGCATGCAAACTCAGAGCAATGCACTCTGTTTTCAACTGGGGCAGCGCAGACTGGCTAGGCTGCGGGTTGGCCTAGGAAGGTGAAAAGGGATGGGAAAGAGTCCAGCAGTTGCTGGGGGTGGGCGCTTTTCAACTTCTTAAAATTAACGGCGGACCCACCGCTCCCACCCTCTTGAGAAAGAAAAGACTTCAGTCATTGAACGTGACCCGAAATCCAAGATTTCTTAACTGCATGGTGAGACAATTCGAAGACTAAAGTCTGCTTCATCGTCTAACTTGCAGTTGGCCACGTTGAAGCATGCAAACTCAGAGCAATGCACTCTGTTTTCAACTGGGGCAGCGCAGACTGGCTTCCCCCATCATCTCTGTGTTGCCGCAGTCAGGAAATTCAGTAAGTTGTCGAACCACGCTACTGCAGCACTTGACTCATCCATGCAAGGAGGCAGCAAAGGGTGTGATGCATTGCGAGATGGATAGTCGCTGACATTCGCTTCTGTCGGCACTCGTGCGTACCAGGTACAAAGGTTGTTCGATGCCTCACGCTCAAGATGGTATCTCATCAAGGCAGAGGCATGGGAACTCAAGCAAGCTCCTTTGATCAGTGAAAACCTGGCACTGTCGTTGTCACCAAAACAAATTTGTAAACCGTCCTTCATTTTGTCAGACCAGAAATCCAAAGCCAGAATTGATGCAGCCAACTCCAACTCATAAATGATCGTTTGCTTGATATCCGCTCCAAAATGCTGGCACATCGACGGCTGTAAAGGAAATCCAAACCAGCCCACGCACTCGCAAGATTCATTGAAGATAGCTGCACCTATGCCACCCTCCTTGAGGTCCGGCTCGTAAGCCGCATCCGAGAAGACAAACCATTGTTGCACCGCCTTTGCAGAGACGATGCGTGGTATGCCAAGGGATAACCTTTTCATCATCACTTGAAGTCCAAAGGCAAGCTCGGGAGAAAGCTTTGCAGACCTGCTGTACGCATGTTCCGACAACTGCTTCAGCACCAGGAGGCCTAGGCGGCCATGTAGAAAGGAATCTGCAAAGCCCAGTTTGCCACGCAAGATAAGTGCATCCTGCTTACATAATTCTCCAGCTTGTAAAGTTGAAACAATCTGTGCTTGCAGATCTTGGATTCTTTGCTCCGTGTTGCGCACTGCAAGCACCCTTTCACCTGAGCTCGCCAAATCAAATTGTACCCCAAGGGCTTTGCAAACTGTCCCAAAGGCTGTGGCTTTTTTGCCGTCCATATCAAACCTCCAACCTGTCAACATGAAAACCAACTCCATGGAGTTTTTTGCAGACTCAACGCTTCCCGGTAACGACGCCAGAATATAGTCGTCATAGAAGTTCGTCGTCAGGAGAAATAACTGACGTGTGCAAATAGTGTACAGCATCCTGGCCAGTCTAAGGAAGCTGTACACACTATGCGTCGCTCCGAACGGCAAAGTGACAAGCTGGTATGTTTCAGGTTGATCTGTTTCGCAATTGTAAATGCAAAAGTATGAGAAGCGCAAATGATCTTCTCTGATTGGTACCTGCCTGTACGCACTTTTGAGGTCGTACGTTTTCGCAACCAGGGCACTTGCCTTTGACTCATCATTGCACCTTCTGAAGAATTCCCTGATGACTGCTGCGAAAGTATCCACCATATGCAAATCAACCTTGTTGTGTATTGATGCAGTGTCGTTGATACCAGAGATCGAAAAATCGTCGATCATTCTTGTCTTTGTCTTCTGGACCAGCGGAAACCACTCCACCTTCCGGAATGGAGTCCAGGGGCCCTATGGCCCAACCTCGCTTCACTTCCTCCCTTGTTTCGTAAAGGAGCTGCCGATCCACCTCTAAGTCACCTGAGCTCTTACAAACAGCCAGCACTGCTTTGTTTCTCATTGGCGCCTCTTTCAGTAACTGTGACATTGTAAGCATGCAAGGCTTGTAGAGCTCCTCAAAGGCATCACTCCTGGGTATTTCACCCGCCAAAGGTGATCCATGTCGTAGCAAGTCCAGCACGCCAGAGTCTTCGTACTGCATTTCAGCTAGGATCTCATCAGTTAATAAGATCCTCTTGCCACAAGTGGCTTGCCTGACATGTGGGGGACGCACAGCCGCATCTAAATGCTCAGCCTGTTCCAACTCCTTTGCCCTTTTCAACCATTTACGACACCAGCCCATTCTATATTGAACCAAGGTTTCTTCGCTCCAAACCATGTGTTTGTCCAGAGCCAGTTGCAAATCCTTTGGAACCAAGAAACTGTGCTTTGAAGGGTGGCCCATCACCACTGCTTTGCGCAAAAACTGTTCACAATCCCACGGCAAACCAAAAACTGCTTTGAACGCCCAAAACTCATCACTGTCCACACGCAAAGACTCACCTGCTACCCCCATGTCAGAGTCTGCAGCGAAACATCCACGCAAAAAGCGTGAATGCTTTGGCACAAGGACTGCTTGTTGTTGTTCAGTCCGCAGCTGAATTGAAGTTGAGAGCTTTCCCATAAGACCACATGGAATGTCAGCAGGCTGTTTAGCGTAGAAAACGGCTGTCTGTTGAAAGTCGGGAACCAAATGTGGGACTTTGGCACCTCTTGGTTGGCGACCTGCTGCAATCTGTGCATTCTTTACTGAAAGTAAAGGATGGTCGACGATGTCGTGCAAACAGTTTGGTCGCAATTGCACGCCTTTGGTTGCAGCCACTTGCAACACCACTTGTACCAAAGCTATGCAGAGCTTTCGAGGGTACTGGGATTCTTCTGCTGTTGCCCACATTTTTTGGCCTTGTGCATTAGTTGTGAATCCCCAACCAAGGTGTTTGTGAGTGCGGTCGCAAACAACGTCCATCTGACAAATTTCAGGAAAGGTGGCAATGATCCTTGTCCACTTGTCCCGCATTGATCCATACATGCACGCCTGAAAATCTGTAGCAAAAAGTGAATGAGCTCGCAAGAGATCCAGCACAAAGGGTATTACCCAAAGATAAGAGCCACGTGGATTCTCCATGGTGGCCAAAATACCTCGTCTCAAGCACATTGCAAAAAGATGGCAAGTGTACCTGAACAGCTCATTTGCAATTTCAACCCTCCGGCGATCTACTGGTCCAAGCGTAGGTAATCCCATTGGATGTTCCAGAGACCTCAAAGGTTGAGGTGCAGCTGTCAGTTCGGGTCGGGGTATCTCCCGTGCCCTGCTCGCCGTTCCACATACCGGTGCAAAGTGCACCCAAAGCAAAAGAGGTGAAGAAAGCCACTCTTCTAAGAGCTCCCTGTCAGCTGCTTGCATCAAATCTAACTGATAGATTGTACTTCTTGAATTTTGCTTTCGAACCTTGTCGACTGCAATGCCACCAAGTCCATACTGCTTAGCCACTGACGTGAGGACAGCTCCACCAGCAAACACTTCAATCATGAATAACTGCTCAATGTGAAGCCCCTTGAAGTCCTTCTGCACATCAGGACCTAGTCACTTGTGCTGTTGCAACGAGTGCGGTTGTTGGCACCGCGGTTCTGCACAGACATGCAATCCTTTTGGGCACCTATCGCCCGGTTTCACCGTTGATGACTGATCGCAGCCAGCAGTTGTATTGAAAGCAAAACAAATTGGCTCATTTGCAGCAGTCTTGTAGTATTTTCCTCGTAATTCTTGGGGCATAGGAGGTGCCTTTCCTTTGCTCCCTGCCTTTCCCTTTGACTTGCCTCCATGTGACTTTCCACCTGAGGCCTGGTAAGGAGCAGGCCTGGATGGTGCTGCAGCTGTGCTCTGTATTGGTTTTGCCAAAGGGGCAAGGTACAACATGATTGCAGGGTCCAACTTCAAAGCTAGCAAGGCTTCCCCAAGCGGGAATGTTCCATCTGCTGCCTCACGTGTTGTCACACCCAACGTTGCAAGCCTTGCCCAAGCAGCTTTGTCACAACTCACAACTTGTGACAAGTTTGCACGACTGTAACCTGGAGGAACTTCACGGTGAGTGATTCAAAGAGAAACGTCACCCAGGCATTGTGTTGCTGAAATGACATCACTCGTGCAAAAGCTAAGGCAACGGCCCTCCTGCTCAATGCATAGTGCAGCTTTATCTCAGAGTCAGTCTGGCAAGTCAACTTGTCATCCTGTTTAAGGATCAATGACCCTTTCTCCAACGTGAGCTCACGGGCTTTTGGTGTGCCCTGAACCTCCATACTTCGTGAAATGCAAATTGCTGGCTCCAGCCATTTGACATTGTTGCTATCAAAAACAGCACAGCACTTGTCCAGCAAACTGTGGGAAGGTTCAAGCTCACCACTAATTTCAAGTCCTCTGAGATCCTGACGGAGCCTTTCCATTCGCTGTGTACGTTCAGCGAAAGCAACTTTTCTGGGTTGCGTTTCATCACTCTGATCAATCTGTTGTCTCAACGTTGCAACCAGGTATGTATGAGCCTCAAAACCAAGCCTCTTCAAAGCTGCAGTCTCTGCTAAGGTCGGTGCACGCGTATTCTGCAAGAAATCTGTGACTTCTTGGTTTTGTATTGGCTGTCCAGGCTGTCCAATCACAAATTGTAGAAGGTACACAACCTTCGAAACCCTTGGGTCAGCGTCCAGGACGTCGTCCTTAACTCACTAGAACCGTCCACGCTACCAAGTCAGCCACTCCCAGAGCTCAGCCACTTTTACACACAAGCAACAGAAACAAGATGTTTGCTCATGTCGCTATGGTTCTTGTTGGTGTGTCACGCCTTGACACAAAATGATGCGGAGTCGCCAGTCAGCATCTTTCTGCTAACTTTCACAAAAGCGATCAAAAACACATGTCCTCACAAAAGGTCTTTACATCAAGACATGGTTTGTTTGTTTAAATAAGTTTGAGTGTTTGAAAAACGTTGAAACATTTCAAGCACCAAAACATGATTCATGATGTCTCCCTCAGATCTGTTAGCAACTCCAGTTCTGAATGCCTTTCAGAACGTTGCTCTCGCTATCATCATTGAGAGACAAAAAACTAAACTTCTCCGATCAATGTCAAACAAAGTTCCTTCTTCCGAAGTCACAAAATGAATTCTACGATCTTCTCACGATTCCTTCGTGCACTTCGTCGACGACAACTAAAGCAAAACATATGGAAAATGGTTTGATTTTCCATGTCACTATACAAATTCAAATCCTCACGATGTTCTCCGTGCAATCAAAGTACTCAAAGAAGACGAAAAGTATATCGTTGTTGGGTTTCGTCATCTCCAATAAAACGTGCAAAACATGAAACGTGCAAATACGATGTCAACCATCACGGTTGAGCTCATCATCAAGATGAAAACCAAATTCACTTCTTCCAATGCAGAAAAGACCAATGGATTCATCTCACCACAGATGTCGGAAATTTTCACACCCCCTTTTGAGATGAACTCCATTCCATGTATAGCTGTAACCCATTCAGACTTCAGCACATATCGCCCAAGCTCGATAGGTCAATACATATAGTACGAATTGTCCCGTTGTCCACCATCCAATGAACAACCAGCTCATAGTCTTTCCTCGCCTTTGCACCAATGAGGATACGCTCAATCACCCAACTGCCTCTGCACTGAAGTTCCAGTGAAGCAACCCTTTGGCTTTCCAACCTTTCCAGAGTCCTCCACAACCTTGCATGCGCAGAGAAAAGAATACCAATCCCTTGCAATTGGACTTGTACTCTTGTTTCCCAGGTGATTCATACTCCATTTGCAATATCCGGCCATCTCATCATCGACATATACCTCACGGTATGTTTTGCCTTCATTGGCAAACTTTCCAAACGCAAACTTCGTTCTGCTCCAATCTCGAAAACTCATGCCTTCAGGCACCAAATCAGCAGTAAGCTGATCAAGGACCTTGTCGGCGATCCCAGGAAAGATTGGGATAGGCATCACAGGCAACTGTGCATTCAAAGGTTCAGCTGCCGAAGAAATCACATCGAATTCATCATCATCCAGAGCCTCACGAAGTCGCTTGCTTCCATCTGTCATTGCTCCTTGACTCTCCAAAGGAGTCAAAATACTGGATCCGGCTGCATAGCCTGACCCTGAATTCCCACTGTTCCACTTCTTCTGAAGAAGAGCAAGCAAAGCTTTCTCATCCTCATCTGTCCATCCAGACTTGGCCATGGCTACAAACCAAACCGCGTCCGGTAGTGAAAAAACACTAGACCGTGGCTAAACTCTTGGGAGCAATCAACCTAGAACGTGAAACGAAGTGTCGAACCGCCATCACAAGTGTGATAGGATCAGTGGCCTTTCAGATTGTTCTGCACTGCGCACACACACTGCATCTTACAGCATCGCGCAACAAAACTCTGCACAAAATGAAACATGGTGAAAACTCCTGTTTGTCTTTGGCAACGTTTGTTTGAAAAACAACGTGCAAACAGAAATGAAACGAAATGAAACGTGGATCCAACTTCTGTCTCTCTCTCTGTCACAGGGTCCCCCTTTTAAACGCAAATTCAACTCTTCTTCGAAGCATGTTTGACGGCAATCAAAATGTATCTTGCCAACTTTCGGTTGTAAAACGCTGTTTCAGTATAGTTGATTTGATAAAGTTCTGCATGTGTCTGACATGTGCATGTAGAAAGTTTGGAATGAAGATTTAGTGCAAACCAAGCTGAATTGGAAACAAACTTCAATGTCTTTCCAATCGGAATACCATCCTTGTTCTGACATCCAGTCTTGCACAACCTCACCAAAGCCTCATGCTTCATGTCAAAACTCTGCAAAAGATTCACTGTCTCAGGTCGGGACCAAATGGTATTTCGTTCTGGAAGCTCAAACGAACATGAGTCTGCATGTTTGAAGTAACCACCAATCGCGTTGATGATCTCATCCCATTCCTGGTCCTTTTCAGTGACTGAGTCCGGATTGAAATTGCGAAGCGGGCTTCCACTTCCACAAGGAGTCGATGCATGAATATGCACCCAAGGTGGACATGACGAATTCTTCCACTGTCGAATGCAAACAGCTACACGACTCAACGTTCCAGAACTCTGCACCTTAGCAACTACACCAATGTATGGGACCTTCGAAACTTCACAGACCTTTCTCAAGTTCGAATGTTCCGAACAACACAGTTCCACAATCGCAATTGAAGAACCCTGAGTCAACACTTGCTGCAACACACACAGCTCACGAAGTTCTGCCAACTCAGCTGTCAAACCATCTGGTACAACAATCCCAAGAGCATAGCGGTGTTTGTAGAAAGCTTTGGCACTCAAGCATTTAGTGAAAAGATCTGCTGGATTTTCAACACCACTCCTGTGTCTCAATTTCAACAAACCCTCTCTCATTTGCTCTCGTAACCAATGCAATCTTATTTCAATGTGTCGTGAGCGTCGTGGCACGTCCATGGACCTCACAAGTTGCAATGCGGAGCTTGAATCGCTCTCCAACCAAATCACAACTTCTTCTGGCTCATCGATCTCATGAAGTGCAAACAGAAGACGGTGAACAAGTCTCCCAAACGCAACACTTTCCTGACACACTGATTGCAAACCATAGAGTT